AGCATGGGTAGACAGGACAAGTGGGGGGGTACGTACATATAGGCCTATAAATGGAGAGCATGGGTAGACAGGACAAGTGGGGGGGTACGTACATATAGGCCTATAAATGGAGAGCATGGGTAGACAGGACAAGTGGGGGGGTACGTTAACAATATTCACACACAATGTAAAAGTAAACAATGATGGAAGCAGCAGGGTGGGATGTTGGAGTAAAAAGATAAATTCAGTGCATTGGCGGGTAAATGGCGATATGAAGGGAGTCCGGGCGGCTGGGGGCAGCGTTGGTGGGGGGGGTAAACCTGCGGAGACGGCCAGCAATGCTCAGCAGCCCAGCTTCCCTTCTATATCCATTCTGCTTGACCTCTACCTGTAACAGATGACGAAATGTGCATATGCTACAACAATCCAGTTGTGGTGCCCAGCAACTATCAACACTTTCCTGGGGTCCACAGGTGAGCCTAAGGGGAGCAGAAGAGGAAGACAGGTTCAGGTGTCAAATCAAGTCACTATCCACACTTCGTTGGTATTCAAGTGCTCAAATCACATTAAATATCTGTAATAGCATAGATTTGCCACTAGATGGCAAAGCCTATGGTGCTCTCGGTAGAAATAAGCATTGTTTGTGACTTAGTCATTGTTCGAGTTGCCAGTCTAAAAACTGACTTAAAGGACAAGGCCCTTTAAACAGAGCCCTCCAGCAGCAGGCTCCGCCTCACTGTGTCTCTGCCTCAGAATGGCCCACGCAGTTGCCGTGGCAGCCACACCCCCCATTTCCAGAACATTGTGTCCTACAGTCTTCTAGGCAGGCAGCCTGAATGCTGCCAAGTTTACCCCCCCCCCTGTTCCCTTCATGAATACAACTGAAAATGAGCTGGCTCACGCTTTCTGCATCATGCAGCGGATGTAAACGTACTGAAAGTCTTACCCAGTCTTTGTGGGGCATCAGATCCAGGAGGGCTGGGAAGGGAGGTGTGAGGACAGGGCCTGGGGAGGCCCCCCTCGGCCCCGCCTGGCCCCGGCCGCTCCTCCTGGGCAGCGGTGGCAGGTGAGGGAGCCACACTGTCCTTACGAGGCGGGATGGCTGTGGGACAGAGGAAGGAGAATGGAAGACAACACTGACCTCAGCGGTTGGCATTTCAGTGGCAATACAGTCCAATGACATTTCTTCACCTAAGAATATCTGCAGTCACTCACAGTGAATTAATCACGGATTGGCTGTTTATTTACACATCAAACATGCAAGCTTGTTCTAAAATAGCCCAGAGGGACCAAATGAATATCTACTCCAATGAGGAATTAGCTCTGAGGATCCCACAAAGCGGTTAGATGAAATGGATAATTGTGGGTAGTACCTGGAGGTGGGAGGTAGCCATGGAAGAGCACACTGCCGCACGAGGAGCGCTCCAGCTCCTCACAGAGGAGCAGCCTCCGTACTGAGGGGAGACACACGCAGGGCAGGGGGTCCATCGCCATCACTCTCTCACTGCACACTGCCTTCAATAAACGCCCCTTCTGTGCAGAATGACTTTTACACGTCTTGGTACACGTTTTACACTACCGCTCATTTAAATATTTATCAAAAGATCGGATCAGGACTCGGAATTGGCAGATATGAATATTGAATGGATCAGATTGGTGTACCAAAAAAGTGGATCGGGACATCCCTAATCGGAAATGAATTTTTTATAACCGTCGTATTTGTGAATGGTCGCTAACTGACATAGTTGGTAAACAAGAAGTGGTTGTAATTAATGTTACGTATTTTGAAGCCAGCGACCCTTCAGTCTTCAGATGCTTTCTATTGACTACAAGTTAATTATCATTTATTTCAGGGACTTGGGGGTGTTATAAAACTTAAAACATACCCAAAGGTGTGATGCCATAAAATTCAGCTTCATGTCGAAGGATATTAATGTTTACACCCCTGTCAAAAAATATACATATTAAACTTCATGCTACATTAAGGAATACCCTACCCTTCTTTTATTTCAGAGGCAGGTGGAACTTCAGCCTTTCTTACCTTAGGTCTAATTCTTTGGTCCGGAGGAAGTTCAAAATTGGTGCAAATGCTGTTGGATCCCTGTCTATAAATATCTGTAGAACAAGAAACAGTTTCATTCACAAAGATAAGTATTTTGCAGAATTTAAGAAGAAAACGAAAATGATCGTTTCAAGCATTACTGTATATTTAAAGGTCTTAGACTCTGCACCTTTATGGACCTAGAGAACAGTCTGTTTGGCTTTTTATAGGTTTAAATTATAGCTTCCATTAATTAAATAGTGTGCATAATTTAAAACTATCAAAACACAAAATGAACCACCCATCTAAAATGAGCAGATGTGTTGCCCAGGTAAGACCAAGGGCCAAAGATTAAACCAACAACGAACATTTCAGCAGTTCAAAACAAATAAATCATTTAAATAATCCATAACTTAACACACCTTAACCAATATGAAATGGAATACCATCAAAATACAACTAATCCGAAAAGATCAAGACATGATTAAAAAATTCATTATACATTTGGGTTTGAACTGCCAATTAGAATGTACTACTGCAAACTACATCTTGGGCAAACAGTGCTTTTCTCCATCAACACCCTTAATCACTGCAACAAGCAGCAACCTCCTCACTGCATTAGTCAGTTTACAGTCTCCAATGTTCACAGGCTTGAAAATGTAACCCATTTGTTTAAGTGCAAGGAAACAGCACTGTGCAGACACGCTGTGGGTTTCAGTAATCAATTTTCCGTCGCTTTCTTGGGCCAAATATTGGAGTCACATTTTACAAAGCTCTATTGATTTGGATCAAAGCCATTTAAACACCCCGCAAATGTGCTTTGGGTTTCAGTTAAAAGGGAATTAATTCAACAAGCAATAACTAATGTACCTCTCATATGCACCGTCTGAACAAAGTATAAACACATACTAACATACATTTGTGTTTTAATTAAGGTAGAAGCATATGTGCTCTGTAGCACAATGTCTGTTGGAGAATAACACCTTAATAACATAATGACAACAACATAACAGCTCATTTTCTGAAACCTTCCCTTTTGCTTTTTGGCATTTTATGCCAAGACACATACAGCGAGGCGTATTTTATGGCTAGTAATTCATGTCCCTAGAAAGAAGCACCAAACGTACAGAACTTCAAGGGGTCGGTTTTCCACAGCCGTAAAAACTGTAACATCACAACGCGAGGCAGGTATTTTGTACTGAATTTGAAAATATAGTATATTATTTGGGCTGGCTGATGTGCGATATTTATACCAACACTGCATGTTATGCACATGCAATTCTCAGTCAGCTAGATTAAGATCAGGCTTTTTCTTACTTTCAGCTCTGTATACTGACATTTACATTTCGCTAGAACATTTTTACTCTGTCGTAGAAAAAAAACCTTAGCCAGCCTTGCTATTTTAATTATTCTTTTTACAGATTATGTAAAATATGATTAAAAATCAGTTTAAAGCTTATCTCCGCTGATTTTGCATGAGCACTGCATGCATTCTCAGAGATCGTAATTATTTTCATTCTTGCTGTTTTAAATCACTCCTAGACGGGTTTATGAGAAATGAATTTATAAATACCTCAATATTTATTACCACAAAATCACATCACCAGGACAGTAGGCTAAATGCATGCTGTTCTAGTATATTAAATAAAATACTTCTTAAATTTCTTGTCATGCAACTCTGATGTTTCTGTTGTATCTGTTCTTCCGACCAAATCGCAATTATTTTTTACTTTGTTTATTGTTGTGTTCCGAGTTCGTAACTGTTCTCAAGGGGGCGTTTGTATTGTGTTTCAGGGGCAGATTATTTACATAACGAATCGACAAAGAAAGCGTTACAAGTCCCACTCCAAAGTACCGAAGTACCAAAAAGAAGTACCCCAGCTGGTTTGGCACGTTCTGTACTGGGACGTTTGGTACTGGTACTCGATCGGAAGTCAGTGGAAAAGAGAAAGTACCAAAGGTACAGTAGTAAGTAAGTACTTGGTGCAGTGGAAAAGAGAAAG